TGACTTTGTTTCCTTGATATTATTATGTTGTACGAACATGTTCCAGACTCGAATCATCCTGCCATTAAATGATCACAGATGAAGTGATGTTGATGGTGCAGTCAGAGTCTAGTTGCTCCACACTGTCTCATCTCTTCTTCACATCTGTGTGTTGTGGCGGACCACAAACTGATATTTTTTATCTGTCAATTTGAAATTAAAAATTCGTTTTAAACTTGAGATTAAAGTGTAGTTTTAAGCAAGAATAATGAGTTTAAAACGTTCTGTTTAATATAAAATTAATTTGAAACGGAATACTGGAAACGAAATGGATTAAGAAATTTACGATAATTAAATAGAACGGTCAAACTAAAATCTTCTAATTAGTAAAATAATGAATTCATTGTCTCCATAATTGTATACCCGGATGGTGGGCCGGGGGTCAGTGCCCCCGCGGCCTGGTTCATGTCCACACACACACACACACACTGCTTAAAATTCTCAAATCTTCAAAATTCTGATTTACGATATTCGCTCACCCCTCTAATTGGCCACAGTGCTTACCAACAGTCTGATTCTGGACAAGATTTACGGGCGGACTTGATAAAGCTGATGTGTCTTGCTGGAGAGTTGGAACTATAATAATAATAATAATAATAATAATAATAATAATAATAATAATAATAATAATATCTTTATTTCTACAAGTATGTGTACAAGGTATACAGACCATTGCTGACATCAGTGACGTACTACTATATAGAAAACCCTTTGTTATGCAGAGCATTTCGAGCAAATTAGGTCAGTTTTGTCCCAGGATGCGACCTACACCAGTCTACTAACACCCAGGTACCTAGTTTATACTGATGGGTGAACATGGACGGCAAGTGTCTTATGGAAACAAGTCCTAATATTTTCCAGCGCTGAGTGCGCTAGAGATCGAGCTACGGGACACTTAGTTTTGAATTGTGTACGTGCCAGTTTACCATTTTTATTGAATAAATTGAGATATAAGTTTCCATGTGATAACTTGCGAATGTCTCTTCTAATTGATTTCAAACTTTCAATGCTGGCATTTAATTGCATTAGAAATTTTTGTCGCATTCTTTACTTTTGTGTTCATTAAGGTAGAAAGGGTTGGGATTATGGGATACGGGGATTCCTTTTTTTACTGAGTGCACAACGACCAAAACAAATCTAGTTTTCTTAGGCATCCATATTTTCCTTAAACACATTAAATCCTTGTTACTTGATTTTTTTGTTCTTCTTATATGTCAATTTATTCTTTAATTGGTCAATAAACTTCAAACTTCTTTAATTAGTCAATAAATTTCACTAAAAACTAGTTGTTCAAAAGACTTATTATTCGCTAATAATTGGTTAAGACAATTGCCCCCAGTTCTGTAAGTGGTTGACGCACGGAATCCCTCACTCTGATTGGTCAACACTGTTATCATGGAATAACAGGCGACTAATTTGTGTAATCCTCTGTTGCATCCCTCCTGTTCTGTGCTTCCACTCTGTCTCCAGGTACGAGTGGCGTAACAGGAGCGATTATCAAGGAAGGGGTTGAACCTTGAGTCAGGCTGTTCATAAATATAACTTTCCTCTTGTAACAACAAACTAAAACTTAATATAGTGAATGTACGTAATAAATTGTGTAAAGAAGGAATAATGTGACTGACTGAGAGAAGAAAGTGTTAGAGTATTGTACTTGGTTATGCTTACAGTACTCCCATTATTGTATTGTATGAATCTTGAGGATTGTACCTGGTTACAACTTGAATATATATATATATATATATATTATATATATATATATATATATATATATATATATATATATATATATATATATATATATATATATATATATAATAATATATATATATATATATACATACATATATATATATATATATATATATATATATATATATATATATATATATATATAAATATATATATATATATATATATATATATATATATATATATATGTATTGTAGGAGCATTACCCTGGCTCATATACATTCTCTATCACCTTACCTCTCATTACAGGGAGCTTACCTTTAAATATAATAATAATAATAATAATAATAATAATAATAATAATAATAATAATAATAGTAATAAAGAGGGTGTTTCAAAGTAGTGTGTAAAGCATTAAAAAGGTTCAATAATCAATCATCTCAATTTTTATTTAATACTGAGAGTTTCTTTGATCTTCCAAACTCTGCTGAACATTGTGAAAGCTTAGAAGTTGCATTTTTTTTAATTCTCTACTTATTTCTAGTAATAATATAAGGAGACTTCTTCGTACGTTTGTCATTACCTGATAGTCGAACCCAGAACCTTCTGCTTGTATACTGACAGCTCTGACCACTGAGCTACAAGTATTTGTTATCCAAGATTATTTTACCTTTTCCAACTAATTTTCTTCTATTTGATTTTTTATATTCCATTTTTAATTTTCTCATTTTCCCCGTGTCTCATTTTTTCATTTTCTCACTTGCCTGTTGCTGGAATATCTGGGGAAATAAAGCTTAAATAGGGCAAAAGTTCACGTAATAACAAGAATAACTTAAAGTGAATGTACAGATTAAAACAAGCGGTAGATTGTTATTCATAGGTTAACACAGTTTAATATTGTTACCAAAATAATTGACTCAGGACACCATAATGTTTAAGGAGCCAAAATTTCGTACAGAAATATACGTGCCTTACCCTTCCTTACTTACATCAAGTTGCATCACCATCTATGAGGGTCGCTAAATGGACAACGATACGAGCTCAGCATGGCAATTTTGCAGTGTTGCAATGCGATATTGTAAATAAATTATGCATATATCACCTTTTATGTATCTTCACTACAGACATAACATGTAAGTGTATTGTTGCTATGTCTGGTCTGGGAGTTGTTAAGGTCTTAATATATAGTAACTTTCACTGTAAGCGGCTTCGATCCAGTGCTTGTGTTAACAATAGTTCTGACATTTTTAAAGTAGTAATTACTTCAAGAAACATCAAACAGCATATTCACCGTAAATATGTAAATCAAGGAGTTTTTAGACAAGTTTACAGGATTGCCTGCACTACCAATATTAATTTCATATGCGTATAATGAGATTTATTTAGCAGAAATCGAGGTCATATTGAGCATCGTATCGCTGCCATACAAAAATAATTTTAATTTCAGTATTAATGCTCTTAAATATTTTATTTATTTATCTATTTGTGCCTGTTAATGTTGTATCCAGCATCGTGATTTATCTAATGTAACCGTCCTAACCTACATTAACCTGTTATTCTTTGTCTGCTCAGGAGCTGTGGTTGTGGCGCCCTCGTCACTACAGATACCTTACTCATCACTGCAACCCCCGCAACAGCAACAACAGCAGTCTGGCCGGCGAGTGACTAGAAGCAACAGTAACAGCAGCAGCGGAGGACACCATCACCACAGCAGCAGCAGCGTTAGCAGCAACAATGTGAAAATTGGCAGCAGTTACACGGCACTGAGCGACAGTAGTAGCAGTCCCGTGGAGCCCATCAAACCTCTGCTGGACCTAAGCTCGGGAGCAGCAAGAACGTCAATCTTATCGATGCCTCTACGTCCAGTGTTTGACGAAGCTGCTCCTCGTAACGTCTCCAGCCTCACTGGCAACTCTGCATACCTTCACTGTCTTGTACACAACCTGGGTAACAAGAGTGTGAGTACTGCACTTAGTGGAACTGTTTGTGGTGCTGTTAGTGGTGCTGGTAGTGGTGTTGTTAGTGGAGTTCTTAGTGGATTTCTTGGTGGAAATGTTAGTGGTGCTGTTAGTGATTCTGTCAGTGGTACTTTTAGTGGAGTTGCTAGTGGAGCTATTAGTGGACATGTTAGTGGTTTTGATAATGGTGCAGTTAGAGGAGCTGTTAGTGATACTGTTAGTGGAGCTGATGTTAGCTTCTTTACACTGAAACTTGTTACTGAGTCTGTCCCACACTTCGAACTGGACTTTCAGTGGTATGTCACTTGACTTCCAGTGGTATGCCACTTGACTTTCAGTGGTATGCCACTTGACTTTCAGTGGTACGTCACTTGACTTCCAGTGGTATGCTACTTGACTTCCAGGGGTATGGCACTTGACTCTGCACTTTCTCTGCCTAAGACACTCGAATATCTTGATTGTGAATTTTAAAGATAAAGGATCTGTCACCTACCTGACTAACGTTTTATTAACAGGTGTCTTGGATCCGCCAGAGAGACCTGCACATCCTGACAGTTGGCCGCTACACCTATACAACGGATCAGCGCTACGAGGTGATCCACTCTCCTGGATCACAAGACTGGATCCTCAAGATCAGCTACGCTCAGGTGCGCGACTCTGGAAACTACGAATGTCAGGTGTCCACCAAGCCTATCACGTCCTACGTGGTTCATCTCAACATATTTGGTGAGTTCATGGGCACCTCTAGTTTACCACCAGATCATCAGTAGCAGTTATGGCTTGTAAGATCATTAAGTTCAAACCCATATCAAATTCTTCTTGGAATCCAGGCTCTTCTAGCTTCGTATTGACAAAGCTCCTGGAGAGACAAACGTTCCCACAGTAAATGTCACATTAGTTGCATCTGTGCCCCTTTCTCTAATCTTCTAGCCTCCTTTAAAAAATAGGTGAATACAGTTATGTAATGTATCTGTCTGATGACGTACGGAGGGTCGAGTCTTCATCACCTCAGCGTTTCCCATAAAGTATACTTTTATTTATTCACTTCTGGCTATCAGTACACTTCAACAGCGTGATGGTTGAGCCTGGTGATGTTGGAGGTCACCCAGGTTCACAACCCTGGGTGATGGAGGTCACCCAGGTTCACAACCCTGGGTGATGGAGGTCACCCAGGTTCACAACCCTGGGTGATGGAGGTCACCCAGGTTCACAACCCTGGGTGATGTTGGAGGTCACCCAGGTTCACAACCCTGGGTGATGGAGATCACCCAGGTTCACAACCCTGGGTGATGTTGGAGGTCACCCAGGTTCACAACCCTGGGTGATGTTGGAGGTCACCCAGGTTCACAACCCTGGGTGATGTTGGAGGTCACCCAGGTTCACAACCCTGGGTGATGTTGGAGGTCACCCAGGTTCACAACCCTGGGTGATGTTGGAGGTCACCCAGGTTCACAACCCTGGGTGATGTTGGAGGTTACCCAGGTTCACAACCCTGGATGATGTTGGAGGTCACCCAGGTTCACAACCCTGGGTAATGGAGGTCACCCAGGTTCACAACCCTGGGTGATGTTGGAGGTCACCCAGGTTCACAACCCTGGGTGATGGAGGTCACCCGGGTTCACAACCCTGGGTGATGTTGGAGGTCACTCAGGTTCACAACACTGGGTGATGTTGGAGGTCACCCAGGTTCACAACCCTGGGTGATGGAGGTCACCCAGGTTCACAACCCTGGGTGATGTTGGAGGTCACTCAGGTTCACAACACTGGGTGATGTTGGAGGTTACCCAGGTTCACAACCCTGGGTGATGTTGGAGGTTACCCAGGTTCACAACCCTGGGTGATGTTGGAGGTCACCCAGGTTCACAACCCTGGGTGATGTTGGAGGTCACCCAGGTTCACAACCCTGGGTGATGTTGGAGGTCACCCAGGTTCACAACCCTGGGTGATGGAGGTCACCCAGGTTCACAACCCTGGGTGATGGAGGTCACCCAGGTTCACAACCCTGGGTGATGGAGGTCACCCAGGTTCACAACTCTGGGTGATGGAGGTCACCCAGGTTCACAACCCTGGGTGATGTTGGAGGTCACCCAGGTTCACAACCCTGGGTGATGTTGGAGGTCACTCAGGTTCACAACCCTGGGTGATGTTGGAGGTCACCCAGGTTCACAACACTGGGTGATGTTGGAGGTCACCCAGGTTCACAACACTGGGTGATGTTGGAGGTCACCCAGGTTCACAACCCTGGGTGATGTTGGAGGTTACCCAGGTTCACAACCCTGGGTGATGTTGGAGGTTACCCAGGTTCACAACCCTGGGTGATGTTGGAGGTCACTCAGGTTCACAACACTGGGTGATGTTGGAGGTCACCCAGGTTCACAACCCTGGGTGATGTTGGAGGTTACCCAGGTTCACAACCCTGGGTGATGTTGGAGGTTACCCAGGTTCACAACCCTGGGTGATGTTGGAGGTCACCCAGGTTGACAACCCTGGGTGATGGAGGTCACCCAGGTTCACAACCCTGGGTGATGTTGGAGGTCACTCAGGTTCACAACACTGGGTGATGTTGGAGGTCACCCAGGTTGACAACCCTGGGTGATGTTGGAGGTCACCCAAGTTCACAACCCTGGGTGATGTTGGAGGTCACTCAGGTTCACAACACTGGGTGATGTTGGAGGTCACCCAGGTTGACAACCCTAGGTGATGTTGGAGGTCACCCAGGTTCACAACCCTGGGTGATGGAGGTCACCCAGGTTCACAACCCTGGGTGATGTTGGAGGTCACTCAGGTTCACAACACTGGGTGATGTTGGAGGTCACCCAGGTTGACAACCCTGGGTGATGTTGGAGGTCACCCAAGTTCACAACCCTGGGTGATGTTGGAGGTCACTCAGGTTCACAACCCTAGGTGATGTTGGAGGTCACCCAGGGCTGTAATGCTGGGTAGTTCGAGGTTACCCAGGGTGGTGTTGGAGGCACCCAGGTTGACAACCCTAGGTGATGTTGGAGGTCACCCAGGGCTGTAATGCTGGGTAGTTCGAGATTACCCAGGGTGGTGTTGGAGGCACCCAGGTTGACAACCCTAGGTGATGTTGGAGGTCACCCAGGGCTGTAATGCTGGGTAGTTCGAGGTTACCCAGGGTGGTGTTGGAGGCACCCAGGTTGACAACCCTAGGTGATGTTGGAGGTCACCCAGGGCTGTAATGCTGGGTAGTTCGAGGTTACCCAGGGTGGTGTTGGAGGCACCCAGGTTGACAACCCTAGGTGATGTTGGAGGTCACCCAGGGCTGTCATGCTGGGTAGTTGGAGGTTACCCAGGGTGGTGTTGGAGGCACCCAGGGTGGTGTTGGAGGCACCCAGGGTGGTGTTGGAGGCACCCAGGGTGGTGTTGGAGGCACCCAGGACAACACACATACGTCTCCTAAATCAACCTCACATTCTTCAGACAACTTGCAGAACAATACATTATTTCCCGGAATTGCATCTTTCGTTACAGCTCTAGAGGTTTCCTCAAATGTGACATGGTTTTTGACCAGCTTGGGCTACCATCTCCTTCCTCTTGATCAGTGTTTATTCATGAATAAAAGAGTACAGCTTTTGCTGTGATCATTGTTGACAAGCTGCGCCTCACCTCCCTCACATCCTCGCCTACAAGCTGCGCCTCACCTCCCTCACATCCTCGCCTACAAGCTGCGCCTCACCTCCCTCACATCCTCGCCTACAAGCTGCGCCTCACCTCCCTCACATCCTCGCCTACAAGCTGCGCCTCACCTCCCTCACATCCTCGCCTACAAGCTGCGCCTCACCTCCCTCACATCCTCGCCTACAAGCTGCGCCTCACCTCCCTCACATCCTCGCCTACAAGCTGCGCCTCACCTCCCTCACATCCTCGCCTACAAGCTGCGCCTCACCTCCCTCACATCCTCGCCTACAAGCTGCGCCTCACCTCCCTCACATCCTCGCCTACAAGCTGCGCCTCACCTCCCTCACATCCTCGCCTACAAGCTGCGCCTCACCTCCCTCACATCCTCGCCTACAAGCTGCGCCTCACCTCCCTCACATCCTCGCCTACAAGCTGCGCCTCACCTCCCTCACATCCTCGCCTACAAGCTGCGCCTCACCTCCCTCACATCCTCGCCTACAAGCTGCGCCTCACCTCCCTCACATCCTCGCCTACAAGCTGCGCCTCACCTCCCTCACATCCTCGCCTACAAGCTGCGCCTCACCTCCCTCACATCCTCGCCTACAAGCTGCGCCTCACCTCCCTCACATCCTCGCCTACAAGCTGCGCCTCACCTCCCTCACATCCTCGCCTACAAGCTGCGCCTCACCTCCCTCCATCATCCTCGCCTACAAGCTGCGCCTCACCTCCCTCACATCCTCGCCTACAAGCTGCGCCTCACCTCCCTCACATCCTCGCCTACAAGCTGCGCCTCACCTCCCTCACATCCTCGCCTACAAGCTGCGCCTCACCTCCATCACATCCTCGCCTACAAGCTGCGCCTCACCTCCCTCACATCCTCGCCTACAAGCTGCGCCTCACCTCCCTCACATCCTCGCCTACAAGCTGCGCCTCACCTCCCTCACATCCTCGCCTACAAGCTGCGCCTCACCTCCCTCACATCCTCGCCTACAAGCTGCGCCTCACCTCCCTCACATCCTCGCCTACAAGCTGCGCCTCACCTCCCTCACATCCTCGCCTACAAGCTGCGCCTCACCTCCCTCACATCCTCGCCTACAAGCTGCGCCTCACCTCCCTCACATCCTCGCCTACAAGCTGCGCCTCACCTCCCTCACATCCTCGCCTACAAGCTGCGCCTCACCTCCCTCATATCCTCGCCTACAAGCTGCGCCTCACATCCCTCATATCCTCGCCTACAAGCTGCGCCTCACATCCCTCACATCCTCGCCTACAAGCTGCGCCTCACCTCCCTCACATCCTCGCCTACAAGCTGCGCCTCACCTCCCTCACATCCTCGCCTACAAGCTGCGCCTCACCTCCCTCACATCCTCGCCTACAAGCTGCGCCTCACCTCCCTCACATCCTCGCCTACAAGCTGCGCCTCACCTCCCTCACATCCTCGCCTACAAGCTGCGCCTCACCTCCCTCACATCCTCGCCTACAAGCTGCGCCTCACCTCCCTCATATCCTCGCCTACAAGCTGCGCCTCACATCCCTCATATCCTCGCCTACAAGCTGCGCCTCACATCCCTCATATCCTCGCCTACAAGCTGCGCCTCACCTCCCTCATATCCTCGCCTACAAGCTGCGCCTCACCTCCCTCACATCCTCGCCTACAAGCTGCGCCTCACATCCCTCATATCCTCGCCTACAAGCTGCGCCTCACCTCCCTCATATCCTCGCCTACAAGCTGCGCCTCACCTCCCTCATATCCTCGCCTACAAGCTGCGCCTCACATCCCTCATATCCTCGCCTACAAGCTGCGCCTCACATCCCTCATATCCTCGCCTACAAGCTGCGCCTCACCTCCCTCATATCCTCGCCTACAAGCTGCGCCTCACCTCCCTCATATCCTCGCCTACAAGCTGCGCCTCACCTCCCTCATATCCTCGCCTACAAGCTGCGCCTCACATCCCTCATATCCTCGCCTACAAGCTGCGCCTCACCTCCCTCATATCCTCGCCTACAAGCTGCGCCTCACATCCCTCATATCCTCGCCTACAAGCTGCGCCTCACCTCCCTCATATCCTCGCCTACAAGCTGCGCCT